AAACTCAATTTGAGGCAAATTTCAACGTTAGCGGCATATTTGCTTGTAATTACATCTATCAAAAATATATGTATATTGCGTTGGGGTATGTATGTGGGGAAATGGCGATAAACTTTTGTCTTCTGCCACGCCTCGGGGCGACAATCGAGCGAGAGCGAGAGCGAGAGCGAGGGCTGCCACGTGGGAGATGGAAGGTGGGTGCCCTGTCCTGCCCGCCTGCTGCCGGAGGCTCTTTCGATATGAGACCTTGTTTATTTGTTCGAGAGCGAGGCAAATTATGAAAAAATCGAATTATGAAAACACAAACAAGTTGCAAAAGTGATGCCAGAGGGCAAGGGAAGGAGTGCCAATGCAGTTCGGAAACAGAAACATAAACAGAAACAGAATCAGATCACAAACAGATCCAAATCAGATCGGTTGCCGAAGCTCATTGCGAGTCCATAGCAAGTGCTAGTCAAACTCAATTTAACTGGCAATTAATGCATGCTGGCCCCAGCCCCCCACTGCCACCCACACTCCCCCCTGCCAACATGCCAAGAACCCCGTTCGGACGCGACGCCATTCGATCCATTGCCGAAAGTGGCAATCAGCAAAAACAACACCAATAAAGCCGCCACAGCAGCAGCAACAGCGACAACATGTTGCCCCATGCCACGCCTCCATGGCAGCCAGAGGACAAGAACGGGCGGCATTGTGGGTGGCATGGGGATGGGCATGGGGATAGGTGGAGAGAATGCCATGTCGACACCTATTACCATTCATTGACTTTTGCCATGTCCCTGGGGTGTCATCTATGCAGGTTGCTCTGGTTTATCCTTCCTGTTCTGCAGCTCCCTTCCCCTTCCCCTTCCCCTGTCCCTGTCCCTGGCTGCTCCTGCCTCGATGTTTGTCTGCTTTCGGAAGAGGCCCACGCTTTTGATTGCATTTGCAGCCAAACCCAACGACCGTTTGCTAATGTCCTTCGATAAAGCCGGCAAAATCAACACCAGCTCAGCCACCCACCCATTTGCCCAGCTGCTCTACGAGTGTGTGTGTGTGTGTGTGTGTTGGTGTCTTTTGGATGGGTATAGGATATGGGCAATGGATATGGATATGGATATGGGCAATGCTGTGGCTGCTGCTGTTGCTGCTGCTGCTGCTGCACGGCCAGCCGTGTGGCTGTGCCTCCGTTTTCATTTGGTGTTTGATTGGATTTTCAATTATTCATTATTATTGGTTGCAATTTACCTGCCGGCCAGCGTACTCCCATCCTCGTGCCGACATCTCTCAAAGTGTCTCTGCATTGATTGCGTTTCATCAGCCGGTTGGCCGGTTCGGTTCGGTTCGTGTTCCCCAGTTTTCCAACTCATCAAATTCCAATTGCATCATTAAACGGAATTTTAAATGCGACAACATCCCCCCATCCTCCCAGTATCCTCCACTTTTTGGACTCATTTGCATGGAGCCACTCGTTTGATTGAGTTCTCGCCCCGTGCGGGTAGACTTATGTTTCGATTTCCATTGGCATTTCCATGCCCCAATCGAGTGTCAACTCTTCAAAGTGAATCGACCTTCAAGGTCTCTGGAGACCGAGCTGGAGCTGGAGCTGGAGTTCATTGCATTTGAGTGGCAGCAAAAATCACTAAAAATTCCATCCAGCTCCAGTGCCCGTCCCCAAAAAAACGATTAAGTGCCTGATTAAATGGTTACCCTAACCCAAGAAGTGTCAGCGCACTTTTAGATCAACCGTCTGGATGATACTTAAATAGCCACAAATAAAGCAGCTTTCCAGTGACTGTTTTTGGGGTTTAAAAATGTTCAGAAAGCGCCATTAAAGTGCTTTAAATGTTTCGCTTACAATTTTGGAATCATTTTGCGTAGCCTCAGTTGCCGGATTGCCAAAGGGTATACTCAACAGCACCGATCTGACGAGGATATAAAAGATCGTGGCGGCAGCCACCCCATGAACGTCCTTGAGTTTCAGGTGTACAACTACAACTACAACACCGTGAAGAAAAGGCTTCTTAAGTACGGGTTTAAAAATGTTCAGAAAGCGCCATTAAAGTGCTTTAAATGTTTCGCTTGCAATTTTGGAATCATTTTGCGTAGCCTCAGTTGCCGGATTGCCAAAGGGTATACCCAACAGCACCGATCTGATCAGGATATAAAAGATCGTGGCGGCAGCCAACCCATGAACGTCCTTTAGTTTCAGGTGTACAACTACAACTACAACACCGTGAAGAAAAGGCTTCTTAAGTACGTTTTAGTTTAGCTTTGTGTGGCAGAAATAAAAGTAATTTTGTAGTCGGAACAAAACAAAAATCGAAGTTCTTGATGGTCTTTGGTTTGGGTTTGGTTTTGGGTTTTGCTTCCCATTGCGACCCCCCCTGACCGCTTGAGGTGGACAATTATCTGCATTGCTGTCGGAGAGAACAGAACAGAAACCAGATCGAGCCATAAAGATAGGGCCAGAAGCTCGAACAAGCCCCAGCCCCAGCCCCAGCCACCGACAAAGTGTTTCCGACTTTTGTCGTAGATTTTTGCTGCCAGATTTTTATTGGCATTCGACTTCATACGAAACGGCTGGGGGGGGGGGGGGGGACCGTAGCGACCAATTTGATTTTTAGGAGGCAGTCAGGCTGGGTTTTCGCATCGGTTATTTCGGATACGTATAAGTATTCGCCGGGGCAGCTACTTGTCTTGTGTGCTTCGCCCTGATCTGATCTCCACGCTCAACGCTCGCCGCTCGACGGTTGCTTTGCGACGCGACAATAAATTAAGTCAAGTGTAGCATTTAATTGATTTTAATCATAGATTAAATATCGTTAAAACAACAGCACAAGCAGCAGTAGAAGCAGAAGCTGCAGCGGGCTCTGGGACTGGGACTGGGACTGGGACTGGGGGGCCAAAGAACAACACACAAAAGGCCCGCGCTGACCAATAAAGTCAACAATCAAATCAAACAGCTCGCCCGCTCACCAACCCCAAAGGGTCGTCTGTGCCACTAGAACTGGGGCTCTGTCATGGGATGGGGTGGGGCTGGACAAACAAACCAATTTGTAGCACAATAAGTTGTCGTTACCATCGGCTGCTCTCGTCCTCGTTCTTGTTCTTGTGCTCCTCTCTGTCGTTGTTGTAATCGTTGTTTACCAATATGTAATCCTTAGAAACAACAAGAGACGGACTCCGTATCCGACATCCCCCCGCCCTGCCAGTGCTGGTGTCCTCTGGTCTTTGCTTGCTTTGAATTTCAATTACCCCAGGACTCAATGGGGGATTGGATTTTGGGCAAATTTTACATCCCAGCCATCACATTGGCATTGGCTTTAAGCTCGTGTCCGCATCAGCTCATATGCATATGCCGGCATGGACAGTGCGTGTCGCGGCTTTAAGGCTTTGTGTATCGGAAATATATTACCCAGAAATTGCTTGGAGTTAATGCAGGAAAAAACATTAGGGAAAAGGCGAGTTTAGTCACAAATTGGATACACTTTGAGGGACTATTAAATGGAAAAGATTGTGGTTGAAAATTGTTTAAATCTTTCCTGCACTTTGAGAGTTATTTCTGCTCTTATCTGCCAGCATAACGCTCCACAAGCAGGCAGACTTATGCGACTTATGCTGCTGGAACGCACTGTCCACCTCTTAAGTTACAGGCGAGAATATATATGGGAGGCGAGTGTGGAATGATTCGGCAAAAGTCAGGGCAGTGGAAGAAAATATTCGCGTTGCTAACGAATCAAATAAATTTGTTGGTCAATTAAAAAACTGCAAAACGCGCAGAATTTCCACATGTGTGCGGCACAGCAACAACTGCACTGCACCACCGCCCTCCTCCCTTCGGGCAACCCCTTGGGTAGGTTGGGATGCTGCTGATTTTTGCTCTAATGGCTGCCAGCGCCAAATGAAAAGCTTCGCGTGAAGCTCCACGAGAAAAAACCAATTTTTTCTCTCTCTCTCTCTCTCCAGGACCCCTCTTGGTCCTCTTTTCTCGTTCTCGCTTTTCGGTACAGCTTCTCCCATGATGCCCTGCATGATTCCCGACTAGCTTTTGACCGAAAATTGCATCTTTTATTTTTATTTTTTGTGCTCTTTTTTATACACAATTTTGTAGAATTTTTCGTGGATTTTTTTCGTTAGCTTTTCTCAATTTTTTTTTGTTTTTTTTTTGTGTGTTAAACTTTTGCCGTAAACTAACTTTGTCGGGTGGGGGCTTGATAGTGTCTAGGGAGAATTGATGTTGCACCAAGAGGTGTGGGGGTCTCGGGCTGGAGCTAGCCACGTTAGTTATTAGTCGGCGGGAGCACGGGTCGAGTGAACATGGGCAGCGGCGATAAATGTCTAGTTCTGCACTCGAAAAAAAGAATGGAGCAGAGCCAGCAGAAACGTGGCAAGTGGAAAGCATTGATAAATGCCACATAAGGATGTTCCCACAAAGCCACAAAGAGGGCAAACCCCTGAGATTTGCCCTAAGGATGAGCACTAATAAGCGAAGATCTGAGCAAAGAAAAGATATCCACGGATGGATCTACGCCTTTTCTCTTCCTGTGATACTTTTCTAGTTCTCTCTCTGCGTTTGTTTGGGGCGCAAATTGACATCGGCTGGCTGGGCCGCCGGAAATGAAAACTAAATAAAAATGGAGCGAAATTTACGGTTAGTATAGGCGCAGAATGATGCAGAGTGGGGTGTCTGAGGGCGGCACTGCACCTCGATGACTGCCAATTTTCTGCTACGCTTTCGCTCTCTCCTGTTCCCTTTTCCCCGCCAACTTCCTGCATTGTTTCTTGTCCATCTTCGTTTTTTTCACTCTTGGGGGCTTGATTAAATTACCAACAACAATGGGGCGAAAAAACAGAGCCCCCTAAGAGCGAGAGAGAGAGAGCAAGAGAGAGTGCCGCTTGGGGAACCGGCTTCGGGCGGCTACTGCGCCTGTCCACAGGCGTCCCTCCCGAATCGATAACCAATAACCAATAACCAATAACCTATAACCAATAACGATGAATGTCTGTGTGCGTTGTAGGCGTGCCAGACAGGAGCAGGAGGCGAGCACTGGGATGCCCGGCTTGATGCCGCTGCAGCGCTCCGAGGCCGTGCCGATACCCAGCCGAGGCAGACTGGCCACCCCACCGCCTGAGGAGCTGCTGGACGAGTCGAAGCCGATCGGAGGTGAGCTGATTGGGGGCAGGCAGGTGGCGGAGCCTGAGGATATCCTGGAGCTGCCTCAGGATAACGGCCCGGAGCCGGATAACTTGGAAATGGACTTGGGCTTGCACATGGACCTCTACTTGGAGCTGGAGCCGGAGTTGATGGCAATCGCCGAGAGCTTTGATCCGATGAGCCAAGATGATAGCTTCTCGCCTGACGTCTCCTCGCCTGACGTCTCCACTCGCAGGTCCCCATCGTCCACCGTGTCCCCATCGCCTCCATCGCCTCCACCGCTGAAGCCCAAGGTCAAGGGTGCAGGCAGAGGAAAGAGCTACGACCCGGTCTTCCCATACCCCGATAATATTGCCCTATATCCGCTGCAACGTTTTTACTGTAAGTGCCGGCTCCCTACTAGCAATACCCCCCCACCAAAGGGATGATCCTCCTTGATAATCTCTTTGATTTCTGCACAGATATCTTCAGTCTGGTGGACACCATGAAGTTGCAGCAGGAGGATCAGAAGCGCAAAAAGTCCGGGGAGCTGCCGAAAAAGACCGCCACTGGAGCTGTGCCCAAGACCAAGAACAATCCGAAGGAAAAGGAAAATGAAAAGGAGAATCTAGATTGGAATCTCAAAAAGAAAACCAAACCGAGCAACATGACTCCCAGTAGCCCGGGAAAACAACTTCAAATGAATCCCAGCAGCCAGGCAAAGCCCAAAAAGCATTACATCATGAATATGCAGGAGAAACCCATCAACCTTTCAACGAAAACTCATTTTCAGCAGAGTCAGTATCAGAGTTGGCCTCACAGCTGGAAAGTATTTATAAAGAACATTTTCTTGGCATTTCAGTGCTGGAGAACAATTCGAAGCAGCCGATTGTGAAGCGTCGACAGGACCTGGAAACCGAACCGCTCCTCGACTTTGACACTGAGTGCGAGTTCGGTATGGAGTACCTCGAGCTGCACCGGGCCAAGGCCTCGCGTCGTGACCACGGTGGCAATCGCAAGAACCGCCAAAATGCTGGCGGCCCAGCATTCGATAGTGGCGAAGGTAAGTGAAAAATATTCAAAGTTCGTGGCAACTTTTAACCACTTTGTATGGTCCGCAGAATACAGCTCTTCCAGCTCCATCGAGGAGCAAACTTCCAAGAAGAATCTCTTCAAGAAGCCAAAAAGCAAGAGAAACTCCATTGTTGTGACTGCCACTATTCACTCGGGTAAGTGCATCCATTGGTGGGCCCAGTAAATAAATAATAAATGTAACCCATCAGAGCCACGCAACTCTGACGACGAAAATCAGGAGAAGGGTGACGCTGGAAAGTCGAGTGGATCCTCCGCTGGCAAAGGTAAGTCCTCGATGGCTTCTCCCCTACTGCAGTGTCCAAACGCTTAACTTTCAGAAGCCGGCGAGGATGTACTAGTGCCTCCCCCACAGGCGTTTCCTTACGACTTGAGGAGCAATCGCAACCGTCGGGCTGCCTTGACTCCACCATCTTCGGATGAATCGAACCAGGCTTCATCGAAGCCGAAGCCCTAATCTTCATTGGCATCCGGCTCTGCCTCTAGATCAGCCAGGGGCATGCAGTTGCCAAGCAATGCCCACGTGGCCTGTTAGTGTTGTGCCAAATAGTCTCCAAATAGTTCCCCGAATCAGTGTCGTCACTCTCTATCTTTGACGAGCAAACACAGAATACATCTGGTAGGTCCGTGCACTCTCCCTTGCCAAACTAAACCCTAATCGATGCCTTGTCTTGCCTCTCTCTTTGCAGCCTCCCGCTAGGAACTTCCTCGAGCGCAGCAATTAAAATATCCGAAATATCTATCAATCAATCAATCAATAAATAATCAATCAAATAAATAAAACATTCTGAAATGTAGTCGAGGCGATTGTGACTCCGTGGAAAGGGAACTTCCAAGGCAGGGCCCACCTTGGAGCTTCTCTAAGTCTGGTTGCCCGGTTACTCCTTGCTGAGAAACTGTGTGGGTTCGTGCTCCGATCAAATCAATTTGCATCTCTGGCTGCCCACGTTCGAGGGAGCGTTACAAAAATAAGCAGATGTAAGGAAAAACCAAACAGAAAAGCGAAGACTAAAGCAAAGATAAAGACAGAGAGTTGTTGGGGCGGAGGGTGGCATCAAATCAAAAAACAATTACGCGGCAAATGACATTATCAAATGTCAAATGTCATGTTCGGAAAGGGCCATGCCCTGTCCCCCGCATCTCATCTCATCTGAACTCATCTCATCTCCCTGCTCCCTGCTCCACGCTCCACGCTCGACTGTGTATCTCCGTGGCATCTACTGGCGAATGCAAAACAGCTGGCGGCGCATCAAATTTGTTCGAGGCAATTTTTCAATTCATTGAAGTGGAATTCATAGGAAGCCCTCCATTCGCCGTTCGCCGTTCCTCGGTCTCCTGCCCGCCGCAGACGGCAGCGATTTTGGTCGCCAGCTCGCCAGCGCAACTAAGCGCCACTTGACTTGTGCTACCCCCCCCGGCCCACCACCCGAACCCCGCAGCATGGCCAACCCCCTGGAGCCAACCAGAGCAGCGGCAAACAGCCCCCTCCCCAACCACTTTGCCCTGTCCCTGTCCCAGTCCATGTCCATGTCCTTCTCGAGTATCTGAAATCAAAATCTAGATTTTTGATTCTTTTATACACGCGTATTACTTGTGCCCACACCCCCACACCCCCACACTCCTCACCACCGCTCGTGGCACGGGGGCAGCTTGTTTGTTTCTTTGGTTGGTTTTCTTTTATTCTTTTGAAATTGGCTTTAGGCCCGTCGCCTGTAAATAAATCTACGAAGCTTTTGTTATTGCCTTTGGATACCATTTTGCGGGGGTTCCCATACCCTCAAGGAATACGCTCATAATACTTGAATAGAGCTAACAAAGTAACTCCATTTGCGGCTCGCTAAATATATCAATTGAATGAGTTTTTCTGCATAGAAACTTTCATCGATGCTGCACCAAAAGCAGCCTTCCTCCCCCCCTGTTATTTCTAAGCAAAGTCTCATCTTTAAGCGCGTTAGAAATGTAAGTCATAAGCCGGCCACACCTGAGGCGGAGTGAGCTGGAGTTCCATATGCACTCTGTCCATTTGCTGCATAACTTCTGGCTTCCATATTGATGGGTGGACATCAGTCTCTCTGTCTCTCTGTCTCTGGCGAAGGTTGAAAAATTGCCCTGACAATGACCCTGGGCCATTGCGCCTAATGAAAGTCAACACGCAGGGTAATGATAATGGTCCTCCCAGGGCCCAGTGGGTGGCCAGCCGTGGCCCCTGTCATCAATTGCAATGACAAGCGAGCCGCACAGGGGGCTGGGGCCGCGGGCGGGCGGTAGGTCAATTTTGAATGCGTCGATTACACTTGGCATTTATCGATAGCCCGAACTTGAAGCATCGAAACAGAAAACTATTAGTGCCGCAGGGGGAGGGAAACGGGGACCAGGACAATCCACATATGTCACAACCCCAAACGGGGCAAAGCAAACGAGAGTGATGGTACGAAAAAAATAAATGAAAAATGATCTAATGCCCACATAAAGGGCAGGAAGGAAACGCACGGAGGACACTCACAAACACAGACAGAGTTCCTTGTAGGTGTGTCGACATTCGTCCAATTGCCATAATTTATCTGTCACATGTCGAATGTGTGTCAACGTCAACGTCCTCACTGAGAGCAGCACCACCCACCGACCCCCCCATCCTCACCATCATCATGTGTTACTCTGAGAGCTCTGAGCAAAGCGCCCACCCACTGGGCACTGGCCACTGGGCACTGGGCTCTATGTGGGATCTATGTCGGTCAGTTGTCATTAATATTTATTATGTCACATGCATGCCAGACCCCCGGAACCCCGGAACCCCGTACCACGTACCACAAACTCAAACCCAAGGCATTGACTTGAAGGACTACACAGCCTCATCAGCTCCAGTTTCATCTCGAACTCTGCCACCACACCTGCCTGTGTACCCTTGCCTAGGAGCATGTACGTGCCGGAGCAGCCGAAGAAGAACTTTGGGGTCGAATGTTTTTAATATTTTAATAAGCCACATGAATACTGCAGTCAGGACAACATCATCAGCCTTGGGGGCAGAGCGCCGCCTCATTTGACAAACTTTGAAGGCAAAGGTATGGCCCTAAAGGATCCCCCTGCCTGAGGCATGACCGGGAACATGAAGGAGGAATCATTAAAGGGTCAATGGCTCTCTGCTGCAAGCACTGAAGAATGTTTTCCTGAACTTTGGAAAGCATTTTGCACTCGATTTGTGTGTCATTGCAATCCATAGTAGGGGTAGCTCCTCCTGCTTAGACTCCCATTGAATCTTTCCACTCTGTGATGAGCACATTTCCTCCTTTGATCTGTGGCACCTGAGGCTAAGAGCCGATGCCTGAGTTATGCCATCTACCAACGCCTGGCACAATGGTCTCATTAGTCGTTTAATGGAATATGTAATGTCCCTGGGTCTCGGTTGATAAAGTGACGAGTGGGCAGTGGGGTTGGGTTGGGTTGGACAGTGCTGGTTCGATGGTGGTTGGTTGTCTCCTCGCACGAAAAACTAACGAACTAATCCAATATTTTTATTACGAAATGCCATTAAGGGTCATTGAATATTGCGGCATAATAAATAAATGGACACCCACACGCACACGTACATATGTGTCTGTCGTGGCACTCCGTTTGGCTGTGAAGCTTGGTCCTGGGCTTGGGCCTGGTCCTGGGCCTGGGCATAATCCCAGCTATCAACGGCATCATTATTCAAAGACGGATTTAGCGCGACGATACACCAAGGATACATGTGTGTGTGTGTGTGTGTGTGTGTGTGTGCGTGAGCTGGAAGGGTAAGGGGGAGAGCTCTGACACACATAGATCAAAGCGTCTTAGGCACAACCCTGAATCCCCGACTCCAGTCACGACTACTCAAAAAACGATTTTTTCTGTGTCTCTCCTGTGGCTCCAAACCCATTTCCATTAGGCGGCACAACCCTAGGGTGTGAGTGTGTGTGTGTGTGTGTGTGAGGGGAATGTATCCATGGAATTGAAAGGCAATCCAAGGCGATGGCAATGGCAAAGGCAATGCTCCACTTTCCATGCTCCCCGCTAATAAGCCAGTTCACACCCAAACACCTGGCACCCTTACACCCTGGCAACCCAAGTCATGCCACCCACTGCTCGCACTCCTCGTGGGCAGCCCTGGTTAGCCACTCAAGGACCCACGCGGGCAACGTGCGCTTAATTAGTCCGTTTTGTTTAAAACGATTCTGATGACGATGGCGCTGATGATGATTCTCATGTTCCCTTCGTGGCTCAGGCTTGTCATGCATATTCCCATATATGTATTCTGGATGTACAGTGTGTTGTGTTTGTATGTGTACACCTATCGACACTGAGAGAAAAACGCTCGCACATGCCCAAACCAGCAGCAACAATTGTCTGGATATAAGCACGTCTGTGCCTCCATCTGCACGTTTCTATCGCTCATTTTTAGAGCAGATCTTTGGCACATGTAGTAGCTCCCATGTCCTCAATCCTCAATCAGGAAGAGCAAGCCTGCATGTTGGAGTAACCATCGCGAATCTCACAGTTCTCTTTTAGATGCAAAAGTCTGTCTGAGAGCCTCAACTCATCTGCCTTTCTGTGGAATGTTTTATTTTCTTTGCCAGTTCTTTCTCTCAGTGCAGGCAGATACACGCTTTTTTTATGTGTTGATGTTCGCCGCGCTTACTTCCTGCAGCAGCGAAACGGAGCTCCTTGTTTGCCAGCAATTCAATTTGCTGCCAGCTCGTACTTTTTTGCACTCTTTTTTTTATATTTCCTTGCCCGTGCACCGTGCCACACCCAAGCCCCAGCTACCGCCTGCCGCTGCCGTTGGGGGCAGCTGCCCATTCATCGCACATGTGTAGCGCGGCTTTGTTCGACATTAAATGGAGGTTAATACCTGGCAGCACGCCCAGCCCAGCCTGGGCAGCAACGAGGGCGGGGGGAGAGCCGGTCAAGTGCAGCATCAGTGAAGGGTTCAGTGCTCCATCCAGGGGGGGCAGAGCCGTGGGAGACAGAGCTAATTTTATTGCCACCACATTTGATTGTTTGTCTGCCGTCGATGTCGATGTCCATTGCCCCCCAGGACATGGCGCTGGACTCTGGCTCTCACTCACTCTCTGCCGTTTCGATTGTTGTTGCAAATAGGCGAGTGATTTTACGGTTAATTGATTTTAAAGCGATTTCGCTTAAATGTTATCTCTGCAGGATACGCCACCCCTCCTGCTGCCGTTTGCTTTGGGGCTTTCGCATGGCTCTTGGCAGCTGGGGGGAGATTCATTGTCCATTGTCCATTGTCCATTGTCCAGTGCATATGTAGATACATATTTATGATTAAATTTGATGATTCTCTTTTGTTCTGCCGCCTGCCTGTGGTCTCAGCTGCTGTTTATATCTTCTCTCTTTGCCAGGCGATTGTCCAGCATTCGAAATTGTTTCCTATTGCCAATCTATGGAACGTCAATTATTGCACAACTTGGGCAAGTCTCCGGCTCCACGTAACTAACTCCGGCTCCCCCCCAAGAATCCTGGCCGTTAGTCCTGGTTCATCAAAACAATAAAAGGAGCAACACTGCCCACTGCCCAGAGAATGTAATGAGTGGGGGGTTACACACTTACAGTTTCAGTTTCAGTTTCAGTTGCAGATCCGAAGGCCTCTAATTATGATTTCAGCAAACTGACAGAGCGGTCAAAACAGCCTTGGGAGGCCATTATCGAAGGGTGGTCCGTCCACCCGTCCACCCGTCCACCCGTCCATCTATCTGTGCGTAACGCTACTGTAAT